GTAATTTAATAATTTAATAAATTTCATAATTTAAAAGTTTAGTGCAGAAGTATCGAATCGGTATCGATATCGACGATACTGCCTTGAAAAGTATCGGTATCGTATCGAAAACAAAATAAGGGGTATCGCCCATCCCTAATCTCAATGCAGAGTTAAGAAGCCGCGCCAGGAGGTGGTGTCATCCCACTGTCGCTGGAGCCAATTGTGTTGTGCGTGTATGAGTTTGTGTTAGCGAGCCGCACTCGAAAAGCCACTTGCTGGTTGCTAAATTAAGAATAATAAAAATAAAAGTACGAATTTATATAAAAGATTGCCTAGCAATGAAAATCTCTCAAGAATCAGGTGCTAGTTGCTAAGTAGCAAGGCTATTTTAGTTATCTTAGTGCTAACTCAAACGGCCTGGAACTTCACAAAAATAAACTATAGGTTGAACTGAAAGGCCCTAGATGGGACTATTTTGTTTCACAGACTTGTATGTGTGTTTTTTAAATAAAATATGTGTTGTACGTTATCCTCACACAACCTCGAAAAAAGTATAAGCATCAAATTACCTAGCTAACTTAGCTAACTTCTGACTGAGAAATCTCCTCTAATAGGAATACATGGGATTGTGGTTTATTATTTACAGTGCTCCTTATTGATTTTGACCTTGATTTGATAACTAAGCTGTAACTAAATTTTACTTTAGACCTTTTTGTCTAAAAGTTACAAGTTAAATGTTACAAGTATTACATTATTCGACCATGGACTGATTGAAGTGCTCATTATAGTAGCAGCGCCTCAGTTATTTGCATATAATTTTAATTATGTTACATATATAGTTGTTTATTTATGCTTGCATTGTGAAATGCCAGTTCAAGTATTACTAGAATCTCATTTGATTTAATAATGTAATAAAAGAAAAGAAAAGCATAATCATGGACTGATAAAAGTGCTCATTACAGTATCAGTGTCTATTATTATTTACATAACTTTTCAACCATATCACATTTATAGTTTTGTTCATTTGTATTAGTTTGTTTTTTATTAGTATTAGTGTATGACACTTGACTTGAGAACTAACACTTTAAATATTGCTGGCATCTCATCTCTTTTAAAAAATGTGTAAAATCAATAATCAATAATTTGATCATTGACTGATAAAAGTGCTCATGATAGTAGCAGTGTCTCTGAATTTTTTTATTAATTCACATATAGTTGTGTTTATTTCTATGGGTTTTATTACATTTGACCAGGGTCACCAGAATCGTCCTGGAGGGCCGGTGTCCTGCAGAGTTTAGCTCCGATTAGCTAAAATCTGCAGGACAACGGCACTCCAGGACTGATTTGGTGGCCTTGCATAACGCCCATGCAGACACATTTTAGTAAAACCAAAAAGAAAAAAACTACAAAGATCCCAATCCTTCTCATTAGTACATTAAATCACAGCCATCCTCACAGCGTTCCACCTTAGAGTGTGTGGCAAAAACATTAATTACTTCATCACTGGGTGGAGAAGAAAACGAATTCTATGTTTTTGATTTGCACCTAGCTGCTTTTGCGCCCCACAGAAAAGTTGTTGGTGGCTGCCGTAATTGCAAGCCAGCCTCAAAAATGTATTTTTAGGAGCCAGCTCCACGTTTATGTTACAGAAGCGGCCATAAAGACTAAGATGGTGGGAAGCGAATCGATCGACCCCCGAACTGTCCAAGCGTGTCTGTAGTCTGTTCAGAGTTTCTAAGGGGCCGACATTTGCCCAACGCCAACGCCTTTTTGACACTGACCTCCATTTGACCTTTCACATTGATCTCTCTCTTAATGAACAATGAGCGGCTGCTGCTGTTCGTACTGGCACCAGTGTTTGTCTCGCTGCGCTGGGTGCGATGTAAACGCGATCGATCACTCGCTGTGAGAATGTTTGGGTTGGCTAGGATTACTTACTCCAGTGCTACTCATCAAAGTCGCCTCCATCTCCTCTTGCTGCTGTCCTCATCCAGTGTAGAGACTTCTAAGGCAGACATCAACACAGATACACTATAGGTGGTTCTTCATTCATGAATATTTTACACCATATTAGTGAATTATCTGTATAACACAACAGTTTGCACAACAGTTCATAACAGATGAACAGCGTCTCGCCTCCTTCTCCTGCTTTCTGTTTATCTGTTGTTCTTCCAGATCTAGTGTTCTGTACTTGGCTTGATGTTTCGCCTTCTGCTGTTTCCTGCTAACTGAAATCATGCCTTTTCTTCTCTTTCACTGTATCTTTCCCATCTATTCTTCAACTGTTATCTGCTTTGCTTCTAGCAAGGACGTGCCGAGTTTTCCTGGGAAGGAATGAATGTACGTCTGGTATTGACCTTATGCCCTTCATACTTTCTGCCTCTCTTGTTTTCAGTCTCTGTTTTGCGATATTTTCGTTTTTAAATGATATGAACATCTGTTTTCTCCATCATATTACTCTCTGGGGGTATCCAGCAATTTTTTTTTTTAACAAATGCTCAAAAAACATGGACAGCGTCTTATGACAGATACACTCCTGTATAAACGTTTGGAATAATTAAGATTGTATAATGTTTTTAAAAGAAATCTCTTATGCTCACCAAGGCTGCATTTATTTGATCAAAAATATAGTAAAACAGTACTATTGGTCAATATGATTTCTGAAGGATCATGTGACACTGGAAAATGGAGTAATGACTTCCAAAAATGTAGCTTTAAGTTTAACTAAAACATTTATTTTAAATTGTAACAATATTTCACAATATTACTGTTTTTGATCAAATAAATGCAGCCTTGGTAAGCATAAGAGACTGCTTTAAACATTAAACATAAAATATATACAGTATATATAATTATTCCAAACTTTTGATCGGTGTTGTACAATGGTGATGTTGTGAAGGTAAATGTAGTAATTACTGGAGATGTTAATATACTGAAAGGTTTGTATGAATATAAGACTCGCCTTAAATGTCTGCCATGACTCCACAGTGTTCCATCATTGGCAGGTTTCTGGCACCTGGGGGTTTGAGCTGTCCGCCAGCTGTCTTTGATAGGCCACGTCATGTTATCAGAGATTTGGCCTGTTTTTGTGACGTGTAGGTGGCAGTGGATGTGAGAGATGATAACACAGTGTGGATGACATGGAGTTAGTGACATCTGCTCTCACCTTCAAATGAAAAAAGGACAGTTACAACAAAAGTTTATGATTCTTACCAGTGATGTTTTAGCATTTTATTTTTAAACTATTATATAATTTGTTAATATTTTAAATTAACTTTTATTGTCATGTTTTTTATTTGTATTGCAATTTTAGTGCTTTTGTCATTTTCTATTAGGTTTTATTTTTGTTTTTCATTAGGTTTTGATTTTCTATTTAGCTTTAATTTATTTGTATTCTTCAACAGTTCAGTTCAGTTGAGTTCAGTTCTAATTTTCATTGACATATTTTAAGTTCAAGTATTTCATTTTTTAGCTTTCTTTTAATTACAAAAATTATTTTGAATAGTTTTAGCTAACAATAACAACACTCATACCTACAAGTTTAAATGAATTCTGAAATACAATGACCAGAAGTAAAAAGCCAGCATAGGCTAAGGGAACTACACCACAGTTGTACAATGTCAATGTCACCACCACTAAGCATCCGGCAAATCTTTCAATCTTTATTTTAAAAATGTTTCTTTAAATTTCTTTCTTTCAAATGTGCAAAAGGAGCAAATCTGAATCATGTGGGCCATGCAATTACAGTGAATGCAGACTTGAGCTTTCAAGCTTCTAAAACCACCATAATGTTTTGCATGAAAGACAAAATTTTAAGTTGTCAACCTTAACCAAACTATTGTGAACTAAGTTAGGGCTGTCAATAATGATTATTTTGGCAATCGAGTAATCGGTTGATCAAGTCGCCCGATCAAGTAATCGGATAATCATAATACTTTTTTTTTTGGTAATAAAAATTGACCTAAGCAAACAATAGCCATAAAAATGACTTAAAATACATATGTTATACAAGCAATAAAAATGGTTTTATTGAAGAAAAAACTGTGAAAATACATAATGTATTATAAACAATAGAACTAATGTACATTATGCATTATATCAAACGACTGCAGAGGGCGTCAATGGCCTTATGATTGTTTTTTACACTGCTCAAATTAATCATGTTCACTAAACAACATTTAATTCAAATATCCACTTAATGTTTAATATTTGGCCATTTCTTTACGACAGAAAAGCTACAGCTACTGTCATTTCTTGAATATGTGGACATCAAAACGTGTAAACTCAGCGTGAGGTTTGAGCAATTATGTTGAAATTGCAATGAACCATTAAGTTGCCATATTGAGAAAGATAATGATGTATTCTCCTGTGATTAACCTTACAAATCTGATGAATTGTGGCGCACGTTGAGTTCCCAGATGAAGGTTATAATAAACCCAAACTCACAGCAATATGCAGAGTTTGAGACGTGTAAATGATAACATGTAAATGATAACAGTTCATGTGGAGCAGCATTTACTGTGAACGGAGCACTCAGGTACGTAACACTCGCATGTAAATAATTAAAGCGCATATATTAAACCTGCAATTGCATATATTTATTTAATTGAATGATAGCGTTTGTGAATTCACAATAACATTAAGCTTTATTATGATTTGTAAATTGGTTTAATATATCATGCAGCCTTTCAGAAAATGGTCATGGATAATTGTCCGTCATGGAACGCGCCACTTCCGGTATTTTGCCGGAACCTTACTTGACACGGGCAAACTACAGTCGATGATTTTTAAAATTGTGAACTGAATCCCTAATTATTTATTTAAAATCCTCAAAAGAATGATTGGGTTATGAATTGGCTTTCACTACTTTTCTAATTCAGTGAATCATGACTAACGAAATTTAAGTCTGTTTGCCCTACAAAGTTACTGAATCGCTTTAGAAGATTCAGAATATTGTTGAATGAACCATGTTTATGGTTAATTTTTTGTAATTTTGACAATCCTCATTTACTTTCTTACAAATTAAGAAATGATGAGTAAATGACAAAATTTTCATTTTTAAACTATCATTTTAATGTATTTTAAGTTTCATTTGCTACCACAACAGTAAAAAGTCTACAATTAGGCCAATGAACTATATTACTTGGCGGAAGTATTGTTTATTGTCAATTATGATTAATAAATGTAATTATTTATTGAGCCTTGGTGTCCTTTATCAGTGCCATTGCCGGTGTATAATGAAAGTAATAAGCCAGATGAGGCTGTGTGTTAGTGATTTTTGTGGCTTATTGCTTTAATTGATTTTTACTCCTACTTCCCTAACTTTTCTTTCTTTCTTTCTTTCTTTCTTTCTTTCTTTCGTCAGCTGTCCATGGAGGACACCACCTCCATTTTGCCCCGTCTGAAGCGGAACTCCAACGCCTATGGGATTGGGGCTCTGGCTAAGTCCTCTCTGACAGGTGTGTCAGGTGTGTGTCTGTCCCGGTAGCTGGTAACCGACCCCATGTTGGCTCCAGAGGAGGAGATGGCGATTGGAGCCAACATGGCTGCCCCTGTGGGTCCCCCTCCCTTTCCAGTTTCACCACCTGCCTCCTCCATTAATTAGTGCATGTCAATGGCCTCTTTAGCCATTGATGAAATCCCCAGTCAGACCCAACAAGAGTTCACAAAAAACGGTTGACGTAAGTGCACTATCCATCTCCACAAGCTTGCTGCTGGGAAACGTAGTCTTTCGGTGTGACGCCAGCTGTGTATTGTAGTGTGTTTTGTGGTTTTGTGAGGTGAAGTGCTCTTTTGTGAAGTAAACTGTGTGTTGTGGTGTCGTTTTTTTATGGATACTACTCATTGTCACAACAGGTTTCTGGAAATGTAGGTATCTGAATATCTCTCGATTTAATGTCCTGTATCTTTTGTATTTCTGTTGTTTTTCTTAAATGCTTGTAAATGGGGTGAAGTGCTCAAGTGATACCTTTCGATTGTTTTTCCCCTGGACCAAACGGAGGTGATTTATCAAAGTATTTAAAGAGAAGCAGTCACTTCATCAGATGGGGTTTTTATCATTGTCAGCAGCCTCGAGAAAAATCACACAACCGTCGATGAGGTTACCATCAGACTACCTTGTTTTTAGCTCTCTTTTGCATTCAGAGCCTTACGTTTTAAACGAATGCGTCTCTCGTTCGAACGAGATATTTGCATGCTAATAAAGGATATGTTTAGAAGTTCGGCTGTAATTATTCATACATGCATAAAAGCTTATGAATCTCGTGCAATTCATTACTCTCGTCAATAACGTATTTGTAAAGATGGTCAACCAATCGCATCTCCGTCACCGCTCGCACAGCGATCGATCAAATCAACAGACTGTAGCTCATTCATAATCACTCATTCAGTTGTTATCATCCACAGAGCCTTGCAGTAGTTTACTGTAGTAACGTGATTAAACAAAATCCCATAATGCACTGCCTGGCTGCTTTCATTTAGCCCCTTTCTGCAGCTCCATGTCGAGTCTGTACAGGTTCTGACTTGTGTTCCTTTCTCTTTAGGTGTTACCAGATCAATGAAGGACAAAGTGACCAAGCCCACTGCCATGGCTCAGGGTCGTGTGGCCCACATGATTGAGTGGCAGAGCTGGGGTAAACCATCCGCAGGGCCAGAAGGGGGAGCGGGACGCTCCAATCTGAACCGCGAGAGGGAGAGACGGCTTGAAAATGATGCCTATACTGACCTGAGTGATGGAGAAAAAGAGGCACGAATGGCAGCGGGTGAGATGATTGACTGAAGACATTGAGATGATTGGAAAATGTATCTGGTAAAGTCACCAGACACAAATGTCATCCCCCTTTTTCACATTTAGTTGTGGTACAGGGTGGAAACTTAATGTATTAAGTTGAAATGTTATAGTGTTAAAGGACATTTTAACATTTTACTAAATTGTGCTGTACCTTAAAATAATTTTTTTCAGTAATAATAAAAATTATCAGTATATTTGGATTTCATTTGTAAGCTTAAACCTCATATAATCTAGCAAGTTTTTTTTTCTTCCTTAAAAATAAGAACATGGGGTCAGAAAAATACACGTATTACCAAAGTACATATAGTATATTTACTGTATATTGTCTTGAAGTCTCAATGTCTCAGTTTATCTTGTTTTAAGGATGTATATTATTTTAACATTTTTACAGACAACAAGATATACAAAAATGTATACAGTATATATTATAATTTTTTTGTGGGCTTTTTAAACATGTATTTGATTAAATTCAAAACATTTAATAGGGAATAATAATGTGCAATTTATCATAATAAATAATAATATATTTTTGTTTACTACAAAGACCTTTCTTACAATTTACTGTTTTTCGCCCAATTTTTTTTTGCTAATGTTAAAAAAGGTATTTTATGCTCACCAAGGCTGTATTTATTAAGAAAATACAGTAAAATAGTAATATTGTAAAATATTACAATATAAAAAAACTTTTAAAATAGTGCTGTCAAACGATTAATCGCGATTAATCGCATCAAAAATAAAAGTTTTTGTTTGCATAATATACGTGTGTGCTCTGTGTATATTTATTATGAATATATGTATATATACACACACATACAGTATTTTGAAAATGTTTACACGTATTTACATGTCTGTATTTATATTCATATAATTTATATTATAAATAAATACATTTCATATATAAAAATAACATATTCCTCCTAAATATATACATGCATGTGTGTGTGTATTTATATATACATAATAAATATACACAGTACACATACATATATTATGTAAACAAAAACTTTTATTTTGGATGCGATTAATCACGATTAATCGTTTGACAGCACTAATTTAAAAATATTATTTATTTCTGTGAGGGCAAAGTTTCACATGATCCTTCAGAAATTATTTCATATGCTAATTTGGTGCTCAAGAAACATTTATAATTATTATCAGTGTTGAAAAAGTTGTGCTGCTTAATATTTTTGTGAATTTTTTTCAGGATATAAATAGAAAGATCAAGAAAGCAGCATCCTTTCTGAACAAAAGTAATTTTTTCTTAAAGGGGTCATAGGATGCCCATTTTCCACAAGTTGATATGATTCTTTAGGGTCTTAATGAAAAGTCTGTAACATAGTTTGGTTAATTTCTCAATGGTAGTGTAAAAAACACCTTTTTTACCCTGTCAAAAACAGCTCTTTTCAGATCAAGCTGTTTTTGTATCATTTTCCTTTAAATGTCCTTTAAATTTTCTCTGCTCTCAGAGAGACTGTTTACTTTA